CAGAAATGTTATGGGTACGCAACTTGCTAACCGAGTTGGGAATCTCACTTGCCTCCACACCGCAGCTTTTCTGTGACAACCAAGGAGCTACTTATGTGTGCAGCAATCCTGTCTTTCATTCTCGGATGAAACATCTTGCCTTGGATTTCTTTTTTGTACGTGAACTAGTTGAGCGGGGTCAATTGGTGGTCCAACATATTTCTACGAAACATCAAATTGCTGACATTCTTACCAAACCCCTTAGCAAGGAGCCCTTCTTTTTCTTTCGATCCAAGCTGGGAGTATCCAACGGATCCTCCATCTTGCGGGGGCGTATTGATACATAATATTAATTTAATATTATTGTACATTTGTTATGTATAATTATCTCATACGGTAGTTAGTATTTGTATTTATCTCATCATACGTATGACTAGCTACATCCCTTAGTTTGTGGTAGTTTGTTATCTGATCATATCACAACTCACTGTAACCCTATATATTCATGTACGTATCTCAAGCTCTATACAACAATTCAATACCTTTTATTATACTTCTTAATGGTATCAAGAGCCAGCCTCTAACGAGCCTCAAATTTTTTTCCGATCCAGCCAATGACGACTATCACTCCTACCACGCAGGTCGTCTCCCTCACGGCCTCCACCCACTTCCCCATAAAACTCACCACATCCAACTATCCCGTCTGGAAGTGTCAAGTTCATTCCGCTCTCGTTGGTCTCGGTCTCGATGGATATGTGGATGGTTCTCTTGCCCCACCGGACAAATACATGGATGCTGCCAAAACCCAGCCGAACCCCTGCTACTCTATTTGGTACCGTCAAGATCGCACTATTATCAGTGCGTTGCTAGGGAGTTGCGCTGATGTTATTCAGCCTTTGATCTCGTCTGCTACGACCGCAAAACAGGCCTGGGATAAGCTCTCGCTTACGTATGCGAGCACATCCCGAGGCAGAATCATTTCCCTCAAAACGGCTCTCTCTCGGACTACCAAAGGCGGCCGATCTATCACCGAATATGTTGCTGAGATGTATGCTATCTCCGAGGCGCTGGCCCTCGCTCAAAATCCTATATCCGAGGAAGACTTGGTGATTAACATTCTTAACGGCCTGGGTTCTGATTACGGAGAATTAAGATCTGCAATTCGGGTCCGTAATACTCCACTTCCACTGGCAGAATTACAGGACATTCTCCTAGAGCACGAGCAAAAGCTTCACGAAGCAGGTACGTCGGCCCAGCAGCTTGTACCCACAGCCCACTATACCCAGACTACTGGTCGCGTGGGTGATCCCTCCATGTCTGCCGATCGCCGTCATGTGCAGACCACTGATCGTCGTGGTTATCACTCCCGTCGTGGTCGCGGAGGAAATTCCTCTGGACAGTACCGGAACCCTTCCAATGGAATTGTGTGTCGCTTCTGTAATTTCTCCGGCCATGAGGTGAAACAGTGCCGGAAACTACAACGCTTTTTGCGTGACAATCAAATCACTCCTTCCTTGGGTTCTGGCTCTCCAGCAATTAATAATACGGTGGTCAATCCTATGCAAAATGGTCAACAATGGCTATTTGATAGTGGGGCCTCCCATCATGTTACTTCGGACAATTCCAATCTTCCGAACTACACTGATTATGGAGGCCCTGATGAGGTTCATCTTGGTGACGGTAACTCCCTGCCTATTACACACACTGGTTCAACCACCCTACCCACACAATCCCGACCTTTATCCCTTACTAATGTTCTTTGTGTTCCCACCCTTAATAAAAATTTAATATCTGTTGCTAAACTTTGCAGAACTAACTCAGTTTCTGTTGAATTTTTCTCTACTCATTTTTTTGTTAAGGATCAGGTCACGGGGGCGGTGCTCATGCGCGGGGAGAACATCCATGATGTCTACTATGTTCCGTCACCAAAGTCTCCACAAGTCAACCTTTCTAGGGTCTTTATTCCATCTCACTGGCATCACACGTTTGGTCATCCGTCGCGTCGTATTTTTGATATGTTACTTCATCAAAATAAAAATGTTATTCCGTGTAACATTAAGCTTAGCGAGTCTCATTGTTCGTCTTGTCATATTAATAAAAGCACTAAACTGCCGTTTTCTATTAATACTATGCAAGCCAATCATCCTCTTGAGTTAATTTACAGTGATGTATGGAGCACTTCTACTCTCTCTATTGATGGCTTTCGGTATTACGTATGTTTTGTGGACTTTTTCACCAGGTACACTTGGTTATATCCCCTAAAACACAAAAGTGATGTGTCCATTGTGTTCCCTCAATTTCATAGACTGGTAGAAAAATATTTTAACCATCAAATTAAATCTCTCTTTTCTGATAATGGGGGTGAATACATTAAATTACGGTCCTATCTAAATCAACAGGGCATATCTCATTTTACAACTCCCCCCCATACACCAGAACACAATGGTATTGCTGAACGTAAGCATCGCCATATTGTTGATACCGGTCTTACCCTCCTTCACTATTCCGGTCTACCCCATTCCTATTGGTCATATGCGTTTCAAACGGCAGTCTATCTTATAAATCGGCTTCCTAACTCCGCCATTAATTTTTCTACACCCTACTATTTATTATACAATCGTCAACCCAATTATAAAAAATTACAACCCTTTGGGTGTTTGTGTTATCCATGGCTTCGTCCATACTCGTCCTCGAAAATCCTTGATCGCTCCATACCATGTATCTTCATTGGTTATTCCTTATCGCAATCCGCTTATCTCTGTCTTGATCCCAGTGTACATCGTATATACACAAGTCGCCATGTTCGGTTTATTCCAAATATTTTTCCGTTTCGTCCTTCTGCGTCAAGTATGTTCTCTCCTGCATGCATGCAATTGCCGGCCGTGTCTACCCCTTCCCTAATATCTACCAATCACTTTTTACCTCCTCCCCATCCAATAATTAGCCCACATATCCCCGACCCAACCTTATCTACTAATAATACCACCAACCCATCTACTGCTCCTATTTCCCCACTGTCCACCACGTGCCCTCCTACTCATCCCATTTCCCACATATCCCAATCCTCTGGAACCCACACTTCTTCCATAACCGACCCCTCTCACCCCATGCAAACCCTGTCCACCCATAATTCCACCCAACCAACCCCACCCATTAACTCGTCCTCATCAATTATCCAACACCGGCCCACTCGTACACGAATTCCCAACCCCAAATACCTTGGAGGACCTTTTCTTAACGTGACCACAAAACACCCAATTCCTCCTGCCCTCGAACCAGCTAATGTAAAGCAGGCATTGTCAGATCCAAGATGGGCCTCTGCCATGCAAGAAGAAATGCAGGCTCTAAGGCGTAATAACACGTGGAGTCTGGTTCCCCCCACTGGCCATACTCCTATAACATGCAAATGGGTCTATCGGATTAAAAGAAATTCCGATGGCAGCATTTCACGTTTTAAGGCTCGGCTTGTGGCTCGTGGTTTTTTACAACAACCCGGACGTGATTACTCCGAGACTTTCAGCCCCGTTACGAAGCCTGCAACCATCCGTATTATATTGTCTATTGCACTGGCTCGAAATTGGTCCCTTCGGCAAATGGACGTGAATAATGCCTTTCTCCATGGGACGCTCAATGAGGAGGTGTATATGGTCCAACCACCTGGTTTTCGTGATCCTCAGTTTCCCACACATGTTTGCAAACTTCATAAGGCTCTATATGGGCTAAAACAGGCCCCACGTGCTTGGTACATGGAACTGAGTCGGTTCCTTTTATCTGTGGGATTTCAGAAGTCACGGGCGGATGCTTCTCTCTTTATTTATTCCTCAAATGGCATACTCATTTATTTCCTTGTCTATGTTGATGATATTGTTCTTACAGGGAATAACTCTCATGCCATTGAAGTATTTGTCCGGCAACTTACTCACCGTTTTTCAGTCAAAGATTTAGGAGATCTTCATCATTTCATTGGAGTTGAAGTGGTTCCCACTACCACTGGTATCTTTTTGACTCAACGTCAATATATATTGCATATCTTGGAAGTGTGCAACATGCATGGGGCAAAGGAGGCAGCTACTCCTATGTGTACCAAGTCATCACCTGTGTTCACAGATGGCACACCTCCTACGGATGCCACTCAGTATCGTCGGACTTTAGGCCTTCTACAATATTTGTCCTTCACCCGGCCTGATATTTCCTTTGCAGTTAACAGGTTGTCTCAATTTATGCATGCTCCCTCCGAGATTCATTGGCAGGGTGTGAAAAGAATATTACGGTATCTCAAAGGCACCCTCAATCATGGTCTTTTTCTCAGTCGTTCCTCACCCTTGACTCTCTCCGTTTTCTCAGATTCGGATTGGGGAGGGGTGCATGATGGGGGTCGTTCAACTACGGCCTATGTTCTCTACTTAGGTGGTAATATTATCTCGTGGAAATCGGCAAAGCAGAAATCGGTTTCTAGATCCTCTACTGAAGCCGAATACAAAGCTGTTGCAAATGCTAGTGCAGAAATGTTATGGGTACGCAACTTGCTAACCGAGTTGGGAATCTCACTTGCCTCCACACCGCAGCTTTTCTGTGACAACCAAGGAGCTACTTATGTGTGCAGCAATCCTGTCTTTCATTCTCGGATGAAACATCTTGCCTTGGATTTCTTTTTTGTACGTGAACTAGTTGAGCGGGGTCAATTGGTGGTCCAACATATTTCTACGAAACATCAAATTGCTGACATTCTTACCAAACCCCTTAGCAAGGAGCCCTTCTTTTTCTTTCGATCCAAGCTGGGAGTATCCAACGGATCCTCCATCTTGCGGGGGCGTATTGATACATAATATTAATTTAATATTATTGTACATTTGTTATGTATAATTATCTCATACGGTAGTTAGTATTTGTATTTATCTCATCATACGTATGACTAGCTACATCCCTTAGTTTGTGGTAGTTTGTTATCTGATCATATCACAACTCACTGTAACCCTATATATTCATGTACGTATCTCAAGCTCTATACAACAATTCAATACCTTTTATTATACTTCTTAATGGTATCAAGAGCCAGCCTCTAACGAGCCTCAAATTTTTTTCCGATCCAGCCAATGACGACTATCACTCCTACCACGCAGGTCGTCTCCCTCACGGCCTCCACCCACTTCCCCATAAAACTCACCACATCCAACTATCCCGTCTGGAAGTGTCAAGTTCATTCCGCTCTCGTTGGTCTCGGTCTCGATGGATATGTGGATGGTTCTCTTGCCCCACCGGACAAATACATGGATGCTGCCAAAACCCAGCCGAACCCCTGCTACTCTATTTGGTACCGTCAAGATCGCACTATTATCAGTGCGTTGCTAGGGAGTTGCGCTGATGTTATTCAGCCTTTGATCTCGTCTGCTACGACCGCAAAACAGGCCTGGGATAAGCTCTCGCTTACGTATGCGAGCACATCCCGAGGCAGAATCATTTCCCTCAAAACGGCTCTCTCTCGGACTACCAAAGGCGGCCGATCTATCACCGAATATGTTGCTGAGATGTATGCTATCTCCGAGGCGCTGGCCCTCGCTCAAAATCCTATATCCGAGGAAGACTTGGTGATTAACATTCTTAACGGCCTGGGTTCTGATTACGGAGAATTAAGATCTGCAATTCGGGTCCGTAATACTCCACTTCCACTGGCAGAATTACAGGACATTCTCCTAGAGCACGAGCAAAAGCTTCACGAAGCAGGTACGTCGGCCCAGCAGCTTGTACCCACAGCCCACTATACCCAGACTACTGGTCGCGTGGGTGATCCCTCCATGTCTGCCGATCGCCGTCATGTGCAGACCACTGATCGTCGTGGTTATCACTCCCGTCGTGGTCGCGGAGGAAATTCCTCTGGACAGTACCGGAACCCTTCCAATGGAATTGTGTGTCGCTTCTGTAATTTCTCCGGCCATGAGGTGAAACAGTGCCGGAAACTACAACGCTTTTTGCGTGACAATCAAATCACTCCTTCCTTGGGTTCTGGCTCTCCAGCAATTAATAATACGGTGGTCAATCCTATGCAAAATGGTCAACAATGGCTATTTGATAGTGGGGCCTCCCATCATGTTACTTCGGACAATTCCAATCTTCCGAACTACACTGATTATGGAGGCCCTGATGAGGTTCATCTTGGTGACGGTAACTCCCTGCCTATTACACACACTGGTTCAACCACCCTACCCACACAATCCCGACCTTTATCCCTTACTAATGTTCTTTGTGTTCCCACCCTTAATAAAAATTTAATATCTGTTGCTAAACTTTGCAGAACTAACTCAGTTTCTGTTGAATTTTTCTCTACTCATTTTTTTGTTAAGGATCAGGTCACGGGGGCGGTGCTCATGCGCGGGGAGAACATCCATGATGTCTACTATGTTCCGTCACCAAAGTCTCCACAAGTCAACCTTTCTAGGGTCTTTATTCCATCTCACTGGCATCACACGTTTGGTCATCCGTCGCGTCGTATTTTTGATATGTTACTTCATCAAAATAAAAATGTTATTCCGTGTAACATTAAGCTTAGCGAGTCTCATTGTTCGTCTTGTCATATTAATAAAAGCACTAAACTGCCGTTTTCTATTAATACTATGCAAGCCAATCATCCTCTTGAGTTAATTTACAGTGATGTATGGAGCACTTCTACTCTCTCTATTGATGGCTTTCGGTATTACGTATGTTTTGTGGACTTTTTCACCAGGTACACTTGGTTATATCCCCTAAAACACAAAAGTGATGTGTCCATTGTGTTCCCTCAATTTCATAGACTGGTAGAAAAATATTTTAACCATCAAATTAAATCTCTCTTTTCTGATAATGGGGGTGAATACATTAAATTACGGTCCTATCTAAATCAACAGGGCATATCTCATTTTACAACTCCCCCCCATACACCAGAACACAATGGTATTGCTGAACGTAAGCATCGCCATATTGTTGATACCGGTCTTACCCTCCTTCACTATTCCGGTCTACCCCATTCCTATTGGTCATATGCGTTTCAAACGGCAGTCTATCTTATAAATCGGCTTCCTAACTCCGCCATTAATTTTTCTACACCCTACTATTTATTATACAATCGTCAACCCAATTATAAAAAATTACAACCCTTTGGGTGTTTGTGTTATCCATGGCTTCGTCCATACTCGTCCTCGAAAATCCTTGATCGCTCCATACCATGTATCTTCATTGGTTATTCCTTATCGCAATCCGCTTATCTCTGTCTTGATCCCAGTGTACATCGTATATACACAAGTCGCCATGTTCGGTTTATTCCAAATATTTTTCCGTTTCGTCCTTCTGCGTCAAGTATGTTCTCTCCTGCATGCATGCAATTGCCGGCCGTGTCTACCCCTTCCCTAATATCTACCAATCACTTTTTACCTCCTCCCCATCCAATAATTAGCCCACATATCCCCGACCCAACCTTATCTACTAATAATACCACCAACCCATCTACTGCTCCTATTTCCCCACTGTCCACCACGTGCCCTCCTACTCATCCCATTTCCCACATATCCCAATCCTCTGGAACCCACACTTCTTCCATAACCGACCCCTCTCACCCCATGCAAACCCTGTCCACCCATAATTCCACCCAACCAACCCCACCCATTAACTCGTCCTCATCAATTATCCAACACCGGCCCACTCGTACACGAATTCCCAACCCCAAATACCTTGGAGGACCTTTTCTTAACGTGACCACAAAACACCCAATTCCTCCTGCCCTCGAACCAGCTAATGTAAAGCAGGCATTGTCAGATCCAAGATGGGCCTCTGCCATGCAAGAAGAAATGCAGGCTCTAAGGCGTAATAACACGTGGAGTCTGGTTCCCCCCACTGGCCATACTCCTATAACATGCAAATGGGTCTATCGGATTAAAAGAAATTCCGATGGCAGCATTTCACGTTTTAAGGCTCGGCTTGTGGCTCGTGGTTTTTTACAACAACCCGGACGTGATTACTCCGAGACTTTCAGCCCCGTTACGAAGCCTGCAACCATCCGTATTATATTGTCTATTGCACTGGCTCGAAATTGGTCCCTTCGGCAAATGGACGTGAATAATGCCTTTCTCCATGGGACGCTCAATGAGGAGGTGTATATGGTCCAACCACCTGGTTTTCGTGATCCTCAGTTTCCCACACATGTTTGCAAACTTCATAAGGCTCTATATGGGCTAAAACAGGCCCCACGTGCTTGGTACATGGAACTGAGTCGGTTCCTTTTATCTGTGGGATTTCAGAAGTCACGGGCGGATGCTTCTCTCTTTATTTATTCCTCAAATGGCATACTCATTTATTTCCTTGTCTATGTTGATGATATTGTTCTTACAGGGAATAACTCTCATGCCATTGAAGTATTTGTCCGGCAACTTACTCACCGTTTTTCAGTCAAAGATTTAGGAGATCTTCATCATTTCATTGGAGTTGAAGTGGTTCCCACTACCACTGGTATCTTTTTGACTCAACGTCAATATATATTGCATATCTTGGAAGTGTGCAACATGCATGGGGCAAAGGAGGCAGCTACTCCTATGTGTACCAAGTCATCACCTGTGTTCACAGATGGCACACCTCCTACGGATGCCACTCAGTATCGTCGGACTTTAGGCCTTCTACAATATTTGTCCTTCACCCGGCCTGATATTTCCTTTGCAGTTAACAGGTTGTCTCAATTTATGCATGCTCCCTCCGAGATTCATTGGCAGGGTGTGAAAAGAATATTACGGTATCTCAAAGGCACCCTCAATCATGGTCTTTTTCTCAGTCGTTCCTCACCCTTGACTCTCTCCGTTTTCTCAGATTCGGATTGGGGAGGGGTGCATGATGGGGGTCGTTCAACTACGGCCTATGTTCTCTACTTAGGTGGTAATATTATCTCGTGGAAATCGGCAAAGCAGAAATCGGTTTCTAGATCCTCTACTGAAGCCGAATACAAAGCTGTTGCAAATGCTAGTGCAGAAATGTTATGGGTACGCAACTTGCTAACCGAGTTGGGAATCTCACTTGCCTCCACACCGCAGCTTTTCTGTGACAACCAAGGAGCTACTTATGTGTGCAGCAATCCTGTCTTTCATTCTCGGATGAAACATCTTGCCTTGGATTTCTTTTTTGTACGTGAACTAGTTGAGCGGGGTCAATTGGTGGTCCAACATATTTCTACGAAACATCAAATTGCTGACATTCTTACCAAACCCCTTAGCAAGGAGCCCTTCTTTTTCTTTCGATCCAAGCTGGGAGTATCCAACGGATCCTCCATCTTGCGGGGGCGTATTGATACATAATATTAATTTAATATTATTGTACATTTGTTATGTATAATTATCTCATACGGTAGTTAGTATTTGTATTTATCTCATCATACGTATGACTAGCTACATCCCTTAGTTTGTGGTAGTTTGTTATCTGATCATATCACAACTCACTGTAACCCTATATATTCATGTACGTATCTCAAGCTCTATACAACAATTCAATACCTTTTATTATACTTCTTAAAGGGAGACGACCTGCGTGGTAGGAGTGATAGTCGTCATTGGCTGGATCGGAAAAAAATTTGAGGCTCGTTAGAGGCTGGCTCTTGATACCATTAAGAAGTATAATAAAAGGTATTGAATTGTTGTATAGAGCTTGAGATACGTACATGAATATATAGGGTTACAGTGAGTTGTGATATGATCAGATAACAAACTACCACAAACTAAGGGATGTAGCTAGTCATACGTATGATGAGATAAATACAAATACTAACTACCATATGAGATAATTATACATAACAAATGTACAATAATATTAAATTAATATTATGTATCAATAGATGATACCCGCTAAATGTGATAGGTGCAAACCTGTCACGCTATTAGGTGCAAAGTGGGGTAATATTATATTCGCACTTAATTATTTCTATATTGAAACTTTAGATAATCTATACTCCACTTTTTAATTGATACTTGAGCTGTTCCTTGTTCTTAACTTCTTATCAAAAGATATTCTCATGCATATTATTACATACTCCCCGTCCCGCTATGATTGTCTCATTTTACCTTTTCGGTCAGTCCCACTAAGATCGCCTCATACCTTATTAGGTAAAATTTGTGTGGTTATAAATCATTCTTACTGTATTCTTACTTTATCAATTCAATATCAACCTCATAAACCCACTTTTATTAATAAAAGTGTCACCTTCTCTTATCTCAAACTTAGGGGGACAAAGGTAGTACTTTACATCCATTTTGTAGGGTATGAACCGTATGATGGGAAAATCAAAAATAAAATTTCAATTTCTTAAAAATTGTAGAGTCAAATTAAAGACCTAAGGGTTATTTATTGGGCTTAGGACAAAAATAAAACTAAAAATCAACAAATGGACAAAAAAAGACCTACGCTTATGAATTTCCGAAAAAGAGACTAAACATAATTAAGAAGACTTTTATACCCTGCCACTTGATTTATTATTATTACAAAACGATCAACAGTTACTTAGTTGTAACAATAATGACACGTCAGCCAGTCTACAGTGAGTCAGTGACCTCCGCCGTTGGCCACAGTGATCTTCGTTGCTGGCCAGTGACATCCGCCGCGGCCACAATAACCTCCGTCGCAGCCGGGCACAGTGACCTCTGTCGTCGGTCGGGCATAGTGACCTCCGTCGCCGGCCAATGACCACTGTCCCGTCCAGTAACAGTCGTCCCCTTCCCAGCCCCCTCCCCAACTCCCCCCCAACTCCCTAACTCCCCAACTCCCCAACCCCCACCCACCAGAGCCCCACCCCTGCTCCCTTGTTGCCCCAACCCCAACCAAAAAACCCTCTCCAGCTTCGCCTAGCCCCTAACCTTGCCACCGTCAGCCACAGTCCACCACCCCCAACCGCCTGTAAGATAGCCGCCCAACAACACTGCCTGCTTCTTCGAATCGCCCGACACTGCCCCAATCCCTCCTTCCCAGCTTAACCCTTGCAGCCGCGCATCCCACCCCTGAAACCCTATTCGTCGTCGCCATTGACCTAACCCTAACGCCGACGTGTCCTCATCGCCTCCACCGACGAACATCGGACAGAAAATGAAGAGAAAGAATTAATGGTGGAGGTGGCGACCTGCAGGAGGATGTGGTGGCAGTGCTTGAAACGGGACGACAGCGATTGAAGATGGGCATGACGATTAAAGCAGGGTGGCATCGATCGAAGCATGACAGACGGGATTGAAGTTGGGTTGCAGTAGTTGAAGTTGGGCGGCAGCGATTGAGGCAAGGCGGTGGCTTGGTGACAGCGCAACTTCCCAGGCAAAAGTTGGCCTTTGCTTCCTTCGTTCGTCAATCGTGGCCGCTGGTTTGGAAGATAGCAACCGACATCGGACAACAAGAGAAATGAGTGAAATGTTAGGGTTTCTTATTGTTTTATATGAGGGTTGATAGAGTATTTAATTCTAGAGAGAAGTGAGAGCTAGAGAGAGAAAGTGAGCAATTAATATTTCTCAATCCCCTATAACTACCCCTAAAGAAAGTATTTATAGGAGTGAATGTGGATTTGGGCCCCTAGCCTTGGGCTTAGATAGCCTATTACAATAATCATGCCTTCTTTGGGCGGAATAAGGCCACTAATGGGCTGATTACAACATTTTAACAAATAATGTGTGAAAATACAATTTGCCAGGATACTTCCTAGTCGATGCGGTGCGGTTCTGGCTGACGTGGTCCATGGTCGACGGGGTCCATGGCCGATGCGCCCCACTTGGCTTCCATGCGGTATTCTGGGCTTCTTTGGTTCTGACCGTTACGGGCCGAGGGGTGCCACGTGGATGCCCCTCTGATGTCTAAGCCCATATACTCTATCAAGGGTATTTGTGTCCTTTTACATGTAATAGGTCTCTTTTTTGTCCAGATTTAAAAGTGCTTCTATTTTTGTCTTTACAATACGTAGGGGTATTATTTTGGTCATTATTTCTTATTTATTTGGAATACATATATAGTCATGTAGAGTAGTCTTCCGGTCAGGTATACCTGACCGGAGCCCTGTCCGGCCTCCTCCATTTGGGGGCCTTCCCGGTGGAATTTTTTGATGAAATTTTTTGAGCATGTTCGTCATCAAGTCTAGTTTGTCCATACCAAATTTCAGCTCAAAATTCGATCGGGAAGGTCGTCAAATGATTTTTGCAAGTTAACTGGTACGGAAAATACATATTCCGGACCAGTTAACTTGCAAAAATCATTTGACGACCTTCCCGATTGAATTTTTGGCTGAATTTTGGTATGGATGAACTAGACTTGATGAGGAACCTACACAAAAAATTTGAGCAAAAAATACCGCCGGGAAGGCCCCCAAATGGAGGAGGCCAGACGGGGGGAGTGGTCCGGCCTGGCCGGACCTGAATATTAGTCTAGTCATGTAAGAGTATAAGACTAATTTATACTGAGTATTAAAAATTTGTCAAAAATAAAAGTGTTAAATTTATTTAGGAAGTGTCAAAGAAATATTGCTTACTTTCCTAAAAGTTTGGCTATCGATTATCACTTATGGGAGCAATCATACAAGATTAGATCGAGAAGGCAACGAAGATTTCTATTTTGTGATATACTATGGCGGCAGTTTTGAAACCAGTGAAGGGAGTTAATTGAGGTCCAGAGTCCAGAATATTGACTCTAAGGGGTACTTGTTCACATTAGGGTGGATTCGATCCGGGTCAAGTTGTGGCCCATACCGGCCGGTCCTGATCGTCATTGGTTGGAGAAGCTCGAGTCCGACCTGGTTAAATCCGGGTCTAGGACAGTTTCGGGTACCCGGACGGTCCGGTCCCGATAGGGACTCGGCCCCATTCTATTTCTTTTTTCATTTTTGTTTATTTCTAAGGCTAAATGAAAAATAAGATTGGTTAGTCTGGGATCGAATCAAGGAAAGGAACAGCCAGACTCGGTCCCCAAATAGGTGAACTGGGATCGAGTACCCCTCATGAAAGGACAAGGCTGGTCCCAGACTCAAAATCGAAAATCCCGGACCCGGACCGGTCCCTAACAGTGCCGGACCCATTCTAGACCGGACCCACCCCTAATTCACATTTAATTGTATCGTGGAGTTGATATATATTGAGTTCCGACTAATGGCAGTGGATGTTAATAAAAATCAGGATTGGAATTAGGCGGCATACTATATCGCCATTCATCCTAATTTTTTTAATAAAAATCCTTTAGAAAGTCGTGTAAAAATTATAAGAAGGGACTACGCTGTCTATTGAAGTTCAAATGATTTTCTCAATGACAGTCCCCAGTGACGCATATAGAACTTTTCTCAAGTTGGAGCACTACTGTATGAAGAAGACGGGTCGGGTCGAGTGTGAGACGAATCTATTCAATGTGTAGACAATTTTTTTAAACAAAAACAAGTTATACAATTTGAGTTTCAAATGATTTACATCTATATACAATAGGTCTAGTTTTCAACCCATCAAAACAATTTTAAATATTAATATTCACTTTCTTGAAAGAAAAACATAATAGTTCATATGAATTAGAATTGATTCTTCCTGACACTATTTCTAGTTTTGGATTAGAATTCAAGTAGTTTTTGTACTACAAACCGTCACAATTTTTATTTAGAACTAGGATAATGTGCAACGTTACACGTCGTGCCACAGAATTACAATGCCCAAATTTCCTTCATTGACTTGAGATTAAATTTTGAACCCTAACATGTACGTCCCGGCCGAGCTAAACTACTTTAACTTCTTGATTCAATCATCTCCCGTCTGTAACTACTATACCCTTTTCTAATAAATCTCTTATTGTATCATGTTGTTGTTGTCGGAATACACCCTTTATTTTACAACAGGATCCCAACATTTTAGTAACATAACTATGAAGAAATATCCAAACAAAGTATCCACAAACTTCGTTTTTGTGCAATAGACACAATAACTAGTTGTAATTGGAAAGAAAATAATAAATATATCATTCATTAATTAAGCTCACCACACATATTAGAAGTCTCGTCATATCATTGACTTCTAATATTGGAAAAAGATATTTTGTAATTCACAACAAAACCATCAATGCCACTTTTCATAGAATGACCGTGTCAAGAACATGTCTAATTGTACAAAATCGTTTCATCATAACTCTATAGTCATTTAAATGTGTTATAACAATTTGCATTTGCACTTTGACAGAATTGTTACATATCTGATAGTTATAGCTTTATATCAAGAAACGGGGCACTAATTATATCATAATAAGATGTTAATTATGCGCCCTTTGCGTCTTTGCGAGCCAAAATTTGACTACTCAAGCCTCAAAGGCCTGCTATTCAATGAAGACTTTTGAGCTGAAGTTGATATCTTTCAATAAGGTGAGGAGCATGGCGACCAAAAGTTCAGATGTTCCATAGACTCTTAGGATACACGTTCAATTTCTGATGCTCATTTGAGCATCACCGTTTCAATGTCTTAGGATCGTGCTAATTTTTAGTTCATGCTTATAATCTAACATAAGTCTTTCCCACAAAAAATAATCATGCGCGGTGTAAACCGACTAAACAAAAACAGAACTAAAAAATTTGGATCCATTTTTAGTTTTTATCAAATAGGAGCAGATGGAGTACATCTATTTAATAATGGAAATGTTGAATCGCGTCTAGTTCACCTGCTTTGAAACAAGTCATTTTGAATCCATTTTTCATTCCTTCAAAAAGTTAAATACCGATTAGTAGCCAACTACAACCATTCTTGGTGGGTTCAAGCTTTGTTCGGTATTGATTTTGTTTCTGCTTCATTTTTAAAAGCCGAAATAAAATCAGAATCAGTTTTAAGAGGTCTGTCTCCCCACTTAGTAAAAATTGATTCTTGGACCAGTTTGAAACACTTAAAAATACTTTTTCACTTTGACTAACCACTCCAGTATTCATTTCTACTATTTGACCGAGTAAAAACATTTTTTTAGAAACACGTCCATATAGTGCCTCACTTTTTTGTAAGCTTGTTTACATTTGAAACACATGAACACTATCCGATCATGGATCATAAAAAATATTCCATGTATAAGAACATAACGGGACTAAATCTCAAATGATTAAGCCCTAGCACAATCCTCATTTTTTCAACAAAAATATAACCTAAGATTTACCTTTACTCAACCATACATGTATTGGTTTTTTATTGCGTGAAGTTGTTAAACGGGCTTATTGGATTCCAACTATGTTTGGACTTTGGACTTCAATATAACTATATGTGTTTATATATTTATTGTCCACGGTCCACAATTTTTATTTCAGTTACGTAATACGAAGTACTACGTATATTTTAAGCAAAATCTTATTTTTATTATTATTTTTAATTTACTAAAAGACGTTTAATATATTCTAGGATTATAGAATGTACTTGGCGTACACATTGATACATTAACATTTATTCCCTCCGACCCTTCCCGAATGTCTCATGATCAAGAAAAATACAAAAATTTTATGAATAGTTTATTGCACACGTTAATCTCTTGGCAACTTTTACTATACCACTTTGAGTTTATAGCATTTAGTATTTCATAGTAACACTACAAAAAAAACTTATTAAAAAAAACATTTAGTATTTCAAATGAATACAGTTACTATGAAACTAATATTTTTGAACAAAGAATACATTTCATCATGTGGTGGACTCGGGTCGGGCCACCCAGCCCGTGAACCGGCCCGGCCCGCTACTGTGCGCGCCCGGGAGGCCTGGACTGGCCCGGTTCACCGGCCCGGGTACCGGGCTTTGACCCGGCCCGAGGGGGAGACGGTTCCGGGCACGGTTCCTTCAAAGTGAGACCCAGCCGGGCCAAGCCCGGTTCGTGCCCAATTTGATTTTTTTTTTTGCATCTTTTTGGGTTCCACTCGGGTTGGGCTTGATGTTTAGGAGGGGTTTGGGGGGGTGGGGGTGAGGGGGGGTCAGGGATACTTAGCAAAGCAAAAAAAAAAAAAAAACCGAGGCCTGGCCCTGCTTGGACCCGGTAACTACCCGGGCCGGTCCCGGGCCCAACTATTCAGAACCGGAGGCCCGCCCGAGTCCAACCCTGATTTCATGACAATTATCATGTATGGAGTATGGTGAGCCAGTGCAAAATAAGTTTTTAATGAAAATCAAAGAAAATCTTCCCAAAAAAATGTACTACGTATATCAAAGAAAAAATATTGGTGCCTCACTGCCTCCTATGTATATCAAAAACAAAAATGTTGCTGTAGTAAAAAAGCACAACACTCCTGTAAAACTTCATTCACTGAGCATCATCATCTACTTCGTATTTAAGATATACATTGACACAACACCAGCAAACCACCCACAAAGCTTGTTATGGTAAAACACAAAAACCTCAATGATAGGATTAAAAGCCTGAAGGCATTATATAAATAAAGCAATACAAAAACAAAATATTAAGTACATAATTTAGATCATAAACACAACGACCTTAAGTTTAAACACTACAACTACTTGAGTTAACCAAGCTTCTGCCCGCCATTGCTGCAACCAAATGGAGCTATAGTTGCTATGCCTTTGCATCTTTCAATTGGACAACTCTTCTCTTCATTCACTCATAAGTCATGACACTTGATCTTCAAAGAATGTCATGATGTGACCATAGATGCCAAGTCCAGTTCTTCATCCGAATCCATTACATCTTCAAAATCATAGAATGGATTTGCCTGACACCATAGTTATAAGCTAAATCATCAAATCATAATTAACAAAAAACGAAGAAAACACTGTGATAATCATGTTTGGTTCATGCAAGCTAATTTTATCAACAGATTCATTAATCATCAAGTGAAATGCCCGTTTTTAGCATTATTTGAGCTATAGTAGGCCTTTTACCTTTGGCCTAGGAGTGACTGCATCAAAACTACAGAAAACTGGAGTGTCGAAATTAGGAGGTTCCAAAATGATATATGCTCCTTTATTTCTGTACCTATCTTCTTCTGTGGCCTGCATGGCAGATGTGGATACAGAAAGACACCATTAGTTTCATCACTTTTAAGGATCTTTTCACTTGACTGTAATTGGACTTGAGGTTAGTTTGATACAATCTGGTATGTTCTGGATTGACATTATGTGTATTTTAATACTCTTCGTCATAAAAACAAGACAATTGTTTAGGGACATCCCAAAATGGAAAATAAGACAATTATTTCGGGACGGATGGAGTATTATTTAATGTTGGTCTGGTCTAATAAGTTTAAGCTCGGACTGATCTGGTCAAGATCTGAATTGGACTGATCTGGTTAAGATCTTGATTGGAAGGAATCCAGCTAGAGAAGGTAAAGACTAGAACTATCTGAATTGTTTGGAACAGTTTTTTTGCAATAAATCGTTAAACAAAATATAATAAGTGGGTGGTTTCGAACAGTAAAACATAAGTGGTGGTTTGAATTGGTTCTCATACGAAGTATTAGCTAACATGCTCTATATTGGTTTGCTTTAGGGTTTGACACAAAGCCAAACCAACTCATGGCTGCATTAATTAGTACTACGTAATACTCATGTTAAAAACAAAAATGAAGACTTTACCTGAAACTGTGGGTAGTCCGGTGCACTAAACAATGTGATCAATTTACCAGATTCCACAACATGATCTATAGTGTACCCCGTGTTCATTTGACCAAGACCAGGACGCTTTTCCCTTGCATCAGGACCTTCATGTGATCTGATGATCAACTGAAATACAATCAGCCACATTAAAATATAAAACAATAGAGCAAGAAGGCAAAAGTTACTATAAAGACAAAAGTACTACGTATTACTTTTCACACCTAAAGCAAAGGAATTCAAGGTGCCATATTGTAAAAACAAAGGGAAATGGGCCTAATTGCCTAAACATTTGAAGAAAACAACTCCGTAATGGGATTTTGATCTTTGCAGTTAGGACATTTGTCATTCATCACAAAAAAAACAGGTGCAGTAATAAAAACCCAGAAAAGCCGATGTAGAAGAAACTAGCGACAAGTATGAATACTTATGCTAAGGGCTCATTTGTATCACTATCAGTTTCATTTGTTTAAAAAATTTATAATGTATTAAGATAAAAGTACTTATGGAGGTTGCAGTGCTGTGAAGGGGAGCCTTGGCGCACCGATTACGATGTTGTTGTGTGACCAAAAGATCACGGGTTCAAGTCTCCGGAGAGACCTCTTGCTAGCTCCTCATACACCCTTGAGGTGGAACCCTTACTCGTCGCCTTGTGGGGCCACCAATGGGCACTGCTGCCCTTCATTTAATAAAGATAATCATACTAATGGTACTAATGCTAACAGAAAACTCAAAACAACCTTTTTCTAGATTTCAGAATTTTGTTTTAGTTTCAAAGAAACAGGAAACACAAAACAGAAAGCAATAAAGACAAGGCCTAAGTAATCTATAAATGACAACTCGCATAAAGGCTGGATTAGAGAGCGAAAAAGTGCATATCTTCTTCAAGGGATAAAGAAGAAAGAATTAAAAAAAAAAATTAAAAAAAAAACTATAATAACTGCTGTTAATACTGAAAACTATTTACTCAGCGATTATGTTCAAAGAAAAAGCCATTGCAAACAAATGTTAGCGTTCCTCATGTTACCTTTAGACAATTCTTTCGCAAGAACTCTTCTGTCATATCTGGACCCCACATAAGACCGATTCCTCTTTCCTTATTTGGGGAAAGACCATTAACCATTGCCGGGTCTGACCACAAGACATCACCAGGAATCAAATTAGAACCTTCCCAAGGGGGGTCCAAGACAGACCTCCTGGCTTTAGAGAGCTCCTCAAAGGAGCCAAGGAATAAAGCACTAATATCAGGGTTGATATTTATTTTGCGGCTCTTCTTTCCTTTAGCTCTTTTAGATGGAGTGACAATTTTGCCACGATAAATACCACCATGTGCAGTATAAACACGCCCAGCAATGATAGAAGCAAGAGGGAGTCCTTCAAAACAACCCAAACACTTTCTGTAGACATGTTTTCCTCTGTGACTATATTTGGTGAGAACTTCCTTCTCAAATCCATAAACAGAAGTGCAGTATTTCGATTCATGGTTTCCTCGAAGTAAGAACACTCTCTGTGGCATAAGAACCTAGAAATATACACTGCATTAATAACTTTAACAGAAGCAAAGACATTAAATGGTTGAAGAGTACGTCATGTCTGCATAACAGAATAATCTTGTTTCATGACCTAACTATGCACAAATAATTATCCAGAATGTGTAGAGGAGTTAACAAAGGAAGCATTTTAGCCTAATACATGTTATGTCCACTAATAACTAAGAAGTGGAGATTGTATATAAAAACAACAATGTAGTCCTACTATGAAATAAAAAACTAAGAAGTGGAAATGGGATCCTCTCCAATGTAGTCCTAACTCAGAGCCGGTCCTGGGGCATGGGCAAAGGGACATGCGCCCAGGGCCCATTGCTCCGTTAGGGCCCATAAATTTCATAATTATGTGTATATGGATATATATTAATATATTAATCATATATACATAAAAATCTATAAAAAATAAAAAATAAAAATCAAATATAATTTTTTATACCTTCAATTCATTTTTAAAACGTCCACATTAGAATTCATTGAGAACGTACTTCACCATTTCTTTTGACTCATTATGGCTTAGCGTATAAATGTTCTTTTGATCTACTTCTCTCATTTATACTCATGATTCGTTGATAGTATTTTACTAGTTGTCTCTAATTCTTTTATATAAGGTTAAGATTGAACTATATATAGTATTCATGATTTAGAAACTTGCACTTTATTTTAAAGAAAAGGGATAAATAAGCCCACGAACTACTTGTGATTCTGCAATCAGGCCCATGAACCGGTAGATTTACAGATACACCCCTGAACTCATTGAAAAATAAGCAATCAGATCCTTTTAACTTGCTGGTGTCGGTAATTTATCATCTCCTTACCTGCACCAGCAGGTAAAAATGATCTGATTGCTTAATTTTCAATGAGTTGAGGGGTATATTTGCATGTCTTCTGGTTCAAGGGTCTGATTGCAGAATCACAAATAGTTCGAGGGTTATTTGTCTCTTTCTCTTTATTTTAAAATATGAAAAAGTTACTCTGTATATGCACAATATATCTTTCACGTCTTTACCTAATTCAAAATTCTTTATTGCAACTAATAGTTGTACTAGGTACATTGTATCCTCGTATTTGGATGACAAAATTGTTTAACTTTACTATATATTTTTATAACAAAAAATTATTTTAAATATTTACACAGTATCCCTGAGGCCTACTATGTTTGTATTGCCCCGGGCCCAAAAAATGTCAGGACCGGGCCCGGTCCTAAGAGTAGATTGTATATGGCACTACAAATGGAAAACCAAGCATATATACTCTCGTATATAGCAAATCAAGAAGCAAAAATGGTGCTCAGAATGAGGGTATCCATGCTGCCTCTCCATGTGACCATTGGATCCTGAAAGTTTATCTTAAAGTGGACTATGGGAGTATGAGACTACACCTTCTTTGTAGATGAAATAATCTCATAAAAAGGGAAGAAGATAAAAACAAACAGAACAGTCTTTGATGTGACAAAGCATTCAAGATTCTGCATTTAGTAGTTCATTCCAATTATGCGCATAATTTATTCAGATTCAAAGTATTTAGATAAAGCTAAGTTGAATGGATGAATCCATAACATCGAATTGAGTTCAATGGATAAATGCAAATCATCACCTTCCTCTTCAAACTCAAGAAAGCCACATAAGAAATTTGGTTTACCTTCCAAGCCAACAGGATAAGAAAGGTCTCAAGACCCCAAGCCCCTCTATCGACATAGTCCCCGTTGAACACAAAGAAGCGGTCTTCACCTGGAAACCCAGCGTCCCTCAACAAGAAAAGCACGTCGTGAAGCTGGCCGTGAACATCCCCTACCACGACAACCCGAGACTGTGGTCCCAGACCCAACCCATCATCTATCCTGACCAAATTGGGCTCTTTATGCAAGATCTTGGATGCTGTGAGGACAAGCCGGTCAAATACCTCGACGGGCAGTACAGAGGGGAGATCCGCGGGAGGAAGATTCCGAGAAGCCCAGTCAAAAGTGAGCATAAGGTCAGTCACCCATGCTAGGGTTAGAATTCCGTCCGCCGGCCACGAAAGAGGGATCTGCGGGGCAGGGGTTGAGGGAGAGCGGACGGGGGTCAAGCTCAGTTTTCCCTCTTCGGATGAGGATGAGGTGGAAGCTACGGATGCTGAGGAAAAGAAGTCTTCATCTGACGACGGCGGTTGTGGAGTAGAAGGCAACGCCGGATGAGGAGCTGTCGACGGGACTAGAGACGGTGACTCGGACAGCATGGTCAGCACCTTGAACCGATTCCGTTTCCCTTCGATTATTTACGGGTTCTTAATTAAAAAACGTCATAAAGCCAGAGGTACAATTAAGATATGCATGCCGCGATGGCTGAGTCACTATTTTCATCCTCTTTTTCTTTTTTCTCTACTTCAGTGAGTTCACCCCCTTCCTATTCCCCTGCAATCGCACAATGGCACGGTCCTGTTTTTTTCTTTTTTCTTTATCTACATTATTACTATAGAGAGTAATTCTCCAACAATTACGTGTTGGAGAATTACGTGTTAGAGAGTAAATTCATTTTCTCTTTTTTATTCCTCATTTTCTTTTTCATTTCTCTTTGAGTTTTTTACAAGAATATTACTAAAATAAAACTTATTTACATAAATATGACTATTCATTACTACAATATAGTATTATGGTAACTTAAGTTCAAAACTTGAACACGAATTACTATGATTTCATTACTACTCTAGTAATTAATCATATTTTTGTAAATCATGTTTATTTTGGTCATATTTATGTAATTATTTCTTTCTCTTTTAGTGTCTTTCTAACTCTTTCTTCTTCCTTCTTTATTGGGATACTCCCTCCGTTGCAGTTTCTTTGACACACTTTCATTTTTTGGACGTTTCAAAATGAATGTCATACTTCCCATTTGGTAAACAATACAGTACCAAACAGTGCAAAATAGTGTCTAAACAGTGTCAAACAGTGTCTAAACAGTGTCTAACAGTGTCATGTATATCAAAAACACAATAGTCATGTATATCAAAAGTGAACAAATTGAAAGATGTGGGCTAAATGTGGAATTGACGTAAAAATTGTAGGACCAAAAGTGAAATATATTCTAATGTAGATGATGAAGAGTTTTTTCGGAATTAATGCGGATTAAATAAAGAATTACCAAAATAATGCTAGGTTAAAAGTATTTACCGATCTACTGCTGGCCTTAACCCGGGTTGGGAAAAGTCGCCAAACGGTTTGGCGACTTACCCTCTGCACCCGCAAAACCAATAACCCTTAAACAACTGATTCCCACCATTTGAAAACATACAAAACCTGCTCACAAAACATACAAAACATGTCGAGAGTTGCATGTTTCTTTGTGGCCCGTATTCTCCAGGTGCAAGTAGTTCCTCCGGGGAAAGAGTGGGTGAGGTAGATGAAGTAGTAGAAGAGGAAGTGGCGGTGAGGGAATGATATGCACAGGAGGTGACCGATCGATTTTAAACAGCTCGGCCCATGACGAATATTCAACGTTCTCCATATCGAGAGTAATAGGTATGAACTTTTTTTATGTTGGATATAGCGAGAGCGGGGTGAAACGCAGAAGCTTTGGAGGTAGCCATTAATGGAGAAGAAATAAAAGCTCTGATACCAAGTTGGAATGTGAAATTCACCCTTGGTGATCATCTGATTCGAAAAAGCCTATTAATAGGTAGTGTACAAAGGAGGTCCTATATCTATGTAAATCCTATCTAGTAATTACGTATGAACTAACTAGTCTAGGTACATGATTAGGTAGAGTATTACAAGGCTATTCATGCGGCAGCTATACATTGGATTTACACAGCTAACATGTGATGTATATAAAAACGTACAATATAAATAAATGTTACGTGATTTATTTTATTGTCTAACAGATATGGCCCAGCCCCTGCTTCATAGTTCTTGAAGTTTGAAGATCGACCTGCCCTTATTCTTATGGAATCATATGGTGGGCTGAGGTGGACTTCTGGGACGGCAGACCTAGAGGAGGAGAGGCGGCCTTGCTCTAGTTGCGCAAGGTCAACAGGCGCATTTGCAACAATAACCTGAAGCAGTAAAGCAGTAGCATATGAGATGATGAGAAAATGTCATACTTCGTATCAAACTTACAAATTTTGAAATAAAAACCATATAAAACAAAAAAAAAGATACCTTCTTTTCTTGAAAAGAGGAATTTCTTGGTTTCTTGGTCTGCATTTCAATTTCAGAGATTTCCTCTTCATTTGTGGCTCGCGACCTTGGTCCTGCCCCCGCTTTCTTGACATTTGAAGATGCACCGTACCTTCCTTGAATGAAGATGAAGATGAACCTGACCTTGAAGATGAAGATTGTTGAGATATATTGAATGGCTCATACGGTGTTCTCTTATTTACTTATCATATGTAATGTTTACATTGTGTAAGACAATCATACGTGGGTTTCCATCCACATGCATGGCCCATGCATAATGCATACTACTCATTCTTTCATTATTTCACCTCACATATAACTATCCCATACGTATGGGAGATAATAACTTAGTGAAGTGTTCTTCCTACCCTGTTTTCTATTTATATTAATTCTACATTTAATCATTGAGTTATCAATTTTATCAAAGATGGCCCAGAGGTTCTTGTTGTTCTTGGGGAAGACCTTGCAGAATCGTGGAAAGTTCTGGTAAAGCTTTGGGTATGAAGAGGGGGGGGGGGGCAAATGGTACGTCGAAGTGCAGTTCTTCCTTTGAATCATTGTACGGTCACAGGCCAAGTCCTCCTGAAGTAAAGGTAAAGACGGCGCCGTCTTCCTCATCAGCGGCCGCCGCCGAGTTCCTCCTGCTCCGGCGTGCCATTATTCGGTAAGTTTTTTGCCATTATATAGGAAATTTGTACGGTACATGTTATAATTTGGCAGGCGCCGCACCTCTGCCTTGTCGGACTAATCAAAACCTTACATATGGCTTCTTTAAACACGTATATAAAACCCATTTATTTGCATATCAATCCCTATGGTGAAGCTCTTTTTTTACGGAAGTATTGAAAGGTCGAAATTAAACGGAGAAGCATCTGGCAAGCTAAATCCTGGAAGCTAAAATTTATTCATTTCTTTTGTGAGAATATCACTTTTAATATTGAGTTATCATTTTATCATGGATTAGAGCCGAAATCCCGGAAGCTAAATTTTATCCATTTCTTTTGTGAGAATATTCAACAAAAAAATGGCTCTTGGCAATGAAGTGAGTTGTCTCGGCCATGAAACTATTGGCACAGTTATAGATGTCATGCCTTACACACGAAGCACAAGGGCACATCATGATAAAGTTGTTTCTCAGGCCTCGTGTATTTATAAAGGTCTAAGTATTTCATCCCCAAATCGTTCTTGGATATACCAACAGCTTTGTATCCAGTAGGGGTTCATAATAGTAGGGGTTAAATAGTAAGGGTCAAAATTATTATTATTACAAATCCGCTAGGTTGAACTAGTAGGGGTTGAACTAGTAGGGATTGGGTTAGTAAGGGTTGAACTAGTATTATTATTATTATTACAATCCGCTAGGTTGAACTAGTTCATGTTGAAGATATACCAACAGCTTTGTATCCAGACTAGTTGTCTGCCGGTTTACCTGGCCATTTATCGGGACGTATTTTGTGATTTTAAACACTAAGATATGTATTTTATTTATCTATATCTAAAATGAAATATTATAAGCACCAATAGCGGTAGGGTATTATGGGAAAGCTAAAATTGTTGGTCTAACTCAACAGCAATAATGGATACACCATATGGTGCGCAAGCCGTCAATGTAGAAGACGTAATTTGTATTGGTGTTCTTCAACCATTCACTGTTTGGATAATACATAGTAGTAATTAAAAACAATTATTATTGGTTTTACATGATTTTTTCGGCTATAGGTTCAAGCTAGTTGTTTTTAATTACTACTATGTTCAAGAGCTTTTACCATCTTCTGGTATGTTGCAGCTTTGTTTTTGTACCACTGCAGGTGCTGGATGTCCTCGATCATCTTCTTCAATCCGTTCACAACCATCTCCCGATGTGATCTCATTTTGAATTTTAGTTGGGTTTTACCTTAAGAACCAAGCAGAAACCAAAGCATCAAACAATACATATTTGTTACATCTAGCTGAATAACAGATATGAAGGTAAGCATAACGTGTGAATGCTCGTTAAAGGTTTCTAAATCTTTCTTCTCTACCATGTAACCATAGAGTTGGCGCTTCTCATCAGCGTTAAATAGTACAGGATTTTGTTCCCAGGACTTACTATCTCTTCCGCTATCTGAAAAATGTTTTCCAAGACGCTCAGCCTCATGGTAGCCCACAGCAAATGCCTCAAAAATCAGAACACTCATGCCTCGATGGCCTTGTGGCCTGTACGAATGGTCGGCCCTGACAGGAGCAAAGGTGGGGAAGTAATCAAGCAGTTCCTGGCTTCCCATTCCAATCCACTAAAAATTCCACTTGAAAAAACAGATAAAAGTAAGTTACAAGGTCGAGTAATTCATCATGGTAATTTCTATAAGAAGTACCTAAAAAATAGATGGACCACAGAATTGCAATACCTTGTCCTTGTCAGCTTTCTCAAGCCAAGTGTTCATGATCATGATTATGATTTTCCTGCTCTAGAAACAGAAGTTCCTCTGAAGCTTAATTCTTCCTCCAAGCTTGAAAATTCCACCAATGTATTGTGGAATGTTAAGTTTTTAGATTAGATTCGATGCTCATGTATCATCAATTATGAATTTAGAACAAACTGCTTCAATTGCAGTCCATTCAACTATACATTGAATGTGTGCTTATTTTTGCAATCATTGAGAGACATGTTTGATGGTCATCACTCATCAGGTTTATTTGATTGGCAACATACACCAATGATAAAAAATGCTTTGTTGAACAAATTTAAGACAATAGTAGGACAAATAAATCCATTTACTTTCTTGCTGAAGGCAACTAGATGTTAAAATCATGCAACCATGTTTCAATAGCATACCTTTTTGTTAAATGAAGTTTCTTTTAAGTCTACGAACAACATATTGCTCTGTGTATTTCATTTGAACTAGTCTTTTTCCATTTCATAGCTTAATCAACATATATATGCATAAAATGTTCATTATGCTTTAATGTTTTTCAAAAGGTAGAATGAGATGTGTAGAGTGGTGTTTAGTACTATATATTTTTATCGTGGAACTTAAATTTCCTTGATGACAAGAACAAATCAGTATTACCTGCCCATTTTAATTTTGTTTGAAATGTTAGTTTTGACTATTTAAATAATAAAACTCCAACTTGTTAGCTTTCCTACTTCGTTTATCAAGAAATGACACACTAGACCCGTTACATCTGGCATCTTGCATGAAGCTTGACGGACCGTGATCCCCGGAGATTCTGCTTCTACAGTGACGAGTTGACGGTTCTGCCGAGACTGAGGTCATACCT